CTTTAAATCCTTAATACCGTGGATGTAAACTCTGACTTGATTTCACCTTTAGAATATCTTCGATAAGACTGTCCAAGCCCCGCAATTCTCTTCGTTTATATAGCAGATTTTTCATGAATTGTGGAAATTCCGTAATTTACGTAATCTGATTGGTTAATTTCGAATCCGGCAAATTTTTTCGATCGATAATCAGTTCAGTCTAATTTACCTGTTGTAGCGATCAGACGTTGTTTTATCTGCTCCTTATGTAATGCAAATTAACTTGAAATAAAAACATTTATTAATGAATAAGTTTATTAAAAATTAATATAAGTTTAAAGGTTCAGGACAGTCTAAAAAAAAAAAGTAGAAATAATCACAATTTGACATGTTTACATTAATGGTCATTCACCCATGTACTTAATCACATCAGGTTATTGAGGACAACAGAAGGCTTTGAAATGTGTTGTTTATCAGTTTGGCATTTTATAGTAAAAGGATTTCAGTTTAAACGTGAATATTTTCGAGGAAATAATAAAATAAGTTTTCAATTTATACAATATATTATATGATTAACGGAGGGATGGTAGTTGGATATTAAACAATAGACAATTTCATTATAACAGTATGTATCATCAAACACATTAAAATTAAATACTTGATAAATCTCATATTTGGAAGAATAATACTATTTAATTCAACAAATATTATGATTTACTTCTTTCAAAAAGACTGACGCGGTTATGTTTATGATATTTTCAACATCGCGACTACTAATTTAAATCAGATTATCGACAAGTCTAAACATGCTAAGATTATATCGTACGACAAAGGCACGCTTTCAGTGATTTAGCAATTATATTATAAATTCAAGATTAAATACTTTAAAAAATTTCACCCCTTAAATATTTAGATGAAGAATACTATTTTATTCCAATAATATGACGATTTACTTATTTTAAAAAGACCGACGCCATAATTATATATTTTCAACATGGCGTCTTATCAAACATGTTAAAGGTCACTACGTACAATAATGGACAAGTTTAAACACGTTTTGAATATTGATTTAATAATCATGTTATCACAGCTTAATCGTCTTTAGCCGTAGGTGAATAAATATTATGTAATACCAGAGACATATAATACAATAATATATATATATAACATCGTTAGGTTGATTTTCTAGGCACTTTATATATATATATACGCATGTCTCTGTTAATACACACTTAGATGGGGATTTCCGACATCTATTAATAGACTGGGAATTTTCATCAATTAAATTTAAAGAGAAAAAAAATCATATACGTATCCATAATTAACACAAACGTAATTAGTAACAGTTTATAATGACCTTATCCCCCAAAGAAATTAATTTAATTAATTAGTCTTGTAATACCAAATGATGACGTCAGAGGGTATCCTCAATGGGTATCCTCATGGGTATCCTCTCCCATAGGTTTAACATTAGCAAAAAGTCGCCAGAACCCCCACATCCCCTACTACTAAAGATGATTGGCGCCACCTAGATTTCACATCCAAGATAGTAGGTAGAAGCTGCCCTAGTAATTAGAAATCAAAATTGAAATAGTGAGAAATGAGTGTTGGCCATTGGTGTAGAAATAGCGAGAATTTTAGAGAACACTCTCTGTGACGAGAAACATTTTCTGTGCCAAATTTAGCAAGGGGTGTTCTTCATTTATACTATTTCGAAAATTCCGGAATCGTTGAGTACCCTAAAAAAATGCCATTTTTCTATCAAAAAAGCTGCCGCACCATATGTGTTTTGCAGTTTCAATTACACCCAAAGGGGTTGATAATTCAGATTTCGACATTTTTTTCAATGGATCTTTGATAGGGAAAACAAAAAAGGCTACCATTGTCGCCTATGTAAATAATTACTTCCTTGTAACCTTATAGCGATACATGAATAATTAAGGAAATAAATTGTTTTGCGAGATAGGAAATCAATCTTTTTACGTAAGTTAATTTATAGTTTAAAATATTTATAAATGGTCCACATGAGGTTTAAAACGTGTACAACGCAGGCATCCTATGCCCTAAAGCGAATAAGCGGTAGTGTGTAAAGAATATACAAACTTTTATATATACATATAACACTTAAATATGTAAATGTTTCATTAAAAGGAAGTGACATACCAGAAAATGAAAGATATGATGTATTTATTCATGTCACAAATTGGATACAAACGAAAGAAAAAGTAAAATAACACAAAATACAGAACTCCAAGGAAAATTCAAAACGGAAAGTCCCTTATCAAATGGCAAAATCAAAAGCTCAAACACATCAAACGAATGGAAAACAACTGTCATATTCCTGACTTGGTACAGGCATTTCCTTATGTAGAAAATGGGGGATTAAACCTGGTTTTTTAGCTAGCTAAACCTCTCACTTGTATTACAGTCATATGGAATTCCATTATATTGACATCAATGTGTGAGCAAAACAAACAGACATACTAGGTAAAAATGTCAAAAATTGAGGTACAGCAGTCCACATTGTGTTATAATCTTAATCACTATGAAAACATGTATTTTGTGTATTGTGTATTTTGTTGATGTTAGTTAAATGCTGGTATAATCTATTATCATATATGTAATAATATAGTATATGTTTAAGTTGATAAAAAGAAAGAAAAAACAATATTTGTTTCTAATAACAGGAAAAATAACGACCTTTTAATGTGATTAATAGGAATAACATGATGTGAACTATTCATAAAAAATACACGGGCCCCAAGCTTTGACATATACGACATATATCTATTTAGCACACACTTACAACTTCTCGTCCAATCAAATTGCTTGATTTTGCCTTCTAATTTTCATAGTACATACTTTTCCGTGTACTAAGTAACTACGCATGAATTACCACAAGTGTAAGATTTCATTGTATCGTAATCAAGATATTAAACAAAAATTGCCACTGGCTATTTTGAAATAAAATGCTGTGTTCCAAATTTAATTAAATAGTTAGTAATTAGATTTCACATTGATTTTTAAATATCCTTCTATTTAAATCTTTGGATCTAATAAATGTTTTTGACGATTGCAAGTTTCTTTCATTTTAATAAAGAGTAACACATATGGTTCTTTATACCTTGATTAGAGTACAACGTTCGCCATCTTAAAATTGTGTTATTTTATCATCCATGCAATTACTTTGTACACAAAAAAGTGTGTTCTATGAAACCTTGTGAAGGGAAATTAAGGCAACTTGGTTTATTCCGTCATGAATTGATTGATTGATTGATTATTGGTTGCTTAATGTCCAGTGGCAAATATTTCATGCATTTTCAGGACAATGTCATGAATTGAAAAACCGTAATAATGTCTGAAGAGAATGTGCCACTTACATATATATGTATATACATGTTCTGATACATCTTTTAGTTTTTACTTTGAAATAAAATAAAAAACTATAAATCCTAGTATCTGTGATCTATTGGTAGTTGCTTTTTAATGACTATCCGCTAGACTATCTATGGGGACATACCAGGGGCGGATCCAGCCATTTTTAAAAGGGGGGTTCCAACCATTTGTCACCATTCAAAAGCATTGATCGTTCAACCCCCAGACCTACCCCTAGGATCCGCCACTGCATACTATCTATATATTTCAAATTTATTATAGCTTTAGTTTTACTGTGAAATTGAAAAATGTTTTCATGACATGTAAAGCTTCCACTGCAATTTAATTATTGCCTGCTTTTGGTCAATTTATTCTGTCATCTTACCATGTAAAGAAGTACATGTATAGTAAAACACTGCTTTATACCAATAAACATACCTACACCAGCAGCTACCATCTTTTCAATCTGGAGTCAAGAGCTTTTTAAAATCACATATTTTACAATGATACTAGTGAGTAGATTTACAAAACTTCGTTAATGAGCTCCGTTTTACAAACACCTGTGATACAAGTAGTCAGCCAAAAATAAACTATCAATAGACCAATTAAAAGATTACTCGAGTTGTAAATCTGTGCTAAATTGGATAGTCTATGAAATGGTATATACTATGAAATTAAGAGCTCGGGGTAAGCCCCTCGCTCTAAATTTCAGAGTATATACCTTTTCATAGACTAACCTAGACAGAATGTTGCGGGGTATATTATGTTTCTGAGTCCTGCATCCTCTCCTCACCTTGAGCTGTGATCATCAAAACAAAATGTAATAATCAGTCAAAAACTCTAACCCTAATCGTTAGCTTTTTCATTATAACCTAGGGTCAATTATAACTTATAACTTCCCTCTAGTAATCCAACCGTCATGCAAAATAAAAAGATTATTTTACCAGTACAAGGAAACATTGTTGATAGACCTGAGAAAAAACTATAAAAAGCATTACCTTGACTTTCTGTTACACAATCTTTTCCTCTTGAGATAATCACAACATTGTTATTTTCAAAACGTAATTTTACAAAAAACATGGAATGTTAAATATCTTTAAAACAAGCAAAACAACAATCATTCATTAATACCTTCGTTTTAAATCCTGAAAACCTAATTATAATTATAAATATAATATTTATTATATAATATACTATATTCCGATATGTTTTCCTATATACAGGAAATATTAAATGATTTCCTGTATTTCATTATTTCCTCTGTCCATGCTATTGTCTCTGGTATAATCATATAAGTACTAAACACAATTCATGTGTGCATAAAGTGCAAAAAAAAACCCCAATATAAATGACAATTTAAATGGTCTCTTGACAATTCAAAGTGTATATAAAAATGATTCTACCGTTTCTTGCTATTGATATCTTAAAAATTTAGAAGATCACTGAATGTCCGTCCTGTAAAGGTTACAGAAGGTCTATTTTGGTTTGATTAAATTTACCAATTTATATATTTATTCACTAAGTTTTTAATCTTCAGTGATAAAATTGAATTGAGTAGTTTGAGGACCAAATTAAAACTCATCAGCATAAAAGCGCGATGTAAAGTGAAAGGCTAATGTCAACATCTTCTTTTCTTTCTTTTTTAGAATCTACTGTAGGAAGTTGTTTCATACAAATAAGAACATGTGCAAATAAATATGGGGTGCATTTAGTTTCCATAGGAAAGGCAAAACTCTAGGTAAAAGCATAATCATCAAACATAAGAAATTTGTTGTCAATAAAAATATCTACGTTTTTGATCGTGTCAGTTTCAAAGAGTCTATTTGCATCTGATAGATTTTCAAAAAGTGATCTGTCCCTTCCTAAATCAAGATATATGTTACGGTTGCATATGGCGTGTCAAACGTTGCAATATTCATAAAAGATAAAATATATGTTAATAAAATTAAATAATTGTTCGTAAAAACGAATGTATGTTCGTAAAAACGAATATATGTTCATAAAAACAAAACATATATTCAAAAAATCTAAATATGTGTTCATTAAAAAAAAAAAAAATTCTTAAAAATATCATATGTGTTCATAAAACAAATAAGTGTTCATACAAAAGAAATATTTGTTAATATAAATAAATAATTGTTCATCAAAGTTGAATATATATTCATATAAAATTAAATATATATTCATAAAAAGTTAAATATATATTCACGAAAAGTTCAATATATATTCATGCACATAAAATTTTCATGCAAAAAAATAAAAAATATGTGTTCATATAATAATATCTATGTTCTAAAAAATTTATAAATGCGTTTAATAATTTGCATCATGGGATACCTCGTTGCTTTTGTTACAGTGTATCCGATAAGGTACGCACTGAAACCCAGACCGGACCGGACTCCGAACCCGGACTATTATCTTAAACCCGAAACCGGACCAGACGCCAGACTCAGACTGAGAAAATCAAGGGAGAAAAGTGTTTCAATTTTCTAGTAGTAGGGTCTCCTTTTGTGTACCCTACCGAGGGGGACTGAAGTTAATTTTTGGAGCACTGGAATTGAATTATGATAATAATATAAATATATATATATATCTGTTTAGTATTAAATTTTTAATTAAGATCCATTTATTACATCGGTGATCCGTTTATTTGGCAATCGCCAATGGCAGTCAGCAGGGTTTAAGAACATTTGTTGTTCGACCTGTTAGTCAAATGCGTTTTGTTAAAATATACTTTTTCACTTTTTTGGTCTTATGGAAAATGTTGTTTGTGCTGTATTTAGACCCCTCTAACAAGAAATTTGTTTTGCATGCACACGTATAAAAATTGCGGTTTTTATCCAACGCAATCATAGGTTTGAACGTTGTTTTCAATTTAGACTTGAATATATATATATATATATATATATATATGTAGGACTCTGAACCGCGATGGTACTCCGAACCGCGATGGTCACGCTGAAGAGCTATGGTTGGACGCTGAAGTGTGTTTTTGATCACGCTGAAGTGCGATGGCGGCATTGTGACGCTATCTTGTTGATAGCTATGCCGAAGTGCGATGGTGGTAACGCTGAAGTGCGATGGACTAAATAGACTATATTTTCAATACTTTTCATGTCTATGTAGAAGGCAGTTTGCTTGCTTTAGGTCGACGTTACATTGTGTTACTGTAGAATAAGTTTTCGAGTTTTTAGGTTAATTAAGGGGTTATAAACTACAGGAAACGGAGTTATTGGTCGAGTTAACCTTCTGTAGCGGATTTTTTTTTCGAAATCTACAAAAGGTTTTAATATACGTACGATGGATCGTGGCATTATTGTCTAAATACATACGGGTTCGTAAACAGACCCTCTCTATTATAATGTTACTGTAAAAGAGGAACTCATGAGAAGAACCAGGTAAAAATAAAATGTTAAAGAAGAAAATCAAACAGGACGATTTCTCATTTAATATGCAACTGTAACTAAGGACATACATAGACTATAATGAATATTTTTTATATGCTTACTATAAAACAATTAAATAATTTCACATCTGTAGATTTTAAACAAGCCACCACGCGTCATATAGGCCATCACACATCAGCGAACGGACCATGGCACTTCAGCTTCCCCATCGCACCTCCGAGTTCTTCACACATATATATATATATTTATTTTATTAATGGTAAATTGAAGATTGTATACATATTTGCAAGACAAATTTTGAAAGCACATACAAAAATGTTAGAAGAATTCTCCAAAGACGCTACCGAGTTTCCATAAATGAAAATAATTATTTGCTTAAACCATTTCTTTCAGTATAAACGGAATTATCTGATCATGAATAAATGAGTCCGGGTTATGACCTGAAGTGATCCCGGACTTAAGAGTATACGAAATCAATACACATCGACAGAAGGTAATTTAGATAATTTTTAGCTGGAACATTTATTTTTCCTTTTCGCTTATTTATCATTTTGCCGAGTTGATTATCAACAGAAAATCCCTTAAACAACATATATCGGGGAATCAACGAAACAATTCACTTTTGAAAAAAAACTTGAAGTCCGGGGTCATTTTATGCACAACCCAGACTCACTTATTTAAGATTAGATAAGTTCGTTTATACTGAAAGAATAGGTTTAATCAAATAGTTATTTTCATATATGGAAACTCGGTGGCCTTTTCGGAGAATTCTCCTAATATTTTGTCATGTATCTTGCAAATGTGTATACAATCATCAATTTAACATAAATAAAGTTGAAATATATATATTACCATATATCCAATTCCAGTGCTCCAAAAATTAAAATCATTCCCCTCAGTTGGGTACACAAAAGGAGAACCTAATGCTAGTAAATTGAAACACTTTTTCCCATAATTTACTCAATCAAGGTCCGGCATCCACTCCGGGTATGGTCCGGGTTTCAGAGCGTACCCAATCAAATACACTGTTACAAAAGCAACGAGATATCACCTGATGCAAATTATTGAACGTTTTTAAAAAATTTGAAGAACATATATGTTATTTTATGAACACAATTGTTTTTTAATAAAACTTTTGTGTGTATGAATATGTATTGAACTTATCATGAATATATATTTACTTTTTATGAATATATATTTAATTTTATGAGCAATTATTTATTTTTATGAACATATATAAATTTTTTAAGAACAACTATTTTTTTATGAACAATTACGTATGTTTTATGCATACATCTTTTATTTTATGAACACATATTTGATTTTTTGAATATATATTTTGTTTTTATGAACATATATTCGTTTTTACGAACAATGTTTTAATTTTATGAACATATATTATATGTTTTGTGAATATTGCAACGTTTGAAACGCCATAGTTGCAATGTTTTATGTCACAAAGTATGACTTATTCTTTTTTGGCTACATTTAGTGTTGGTTGAGGTGTTCTTGTATAAGGAATTTAGAAAGAAACTACATTCTTATCTTTTGTATAATAGATTTGTCGAATGTTTAGAATATTTATCTCATTCGCAAAACCTAGATACTAAATAGTTTCAAAAAAAGAGGCCAATGATACCAAAGGGACATTCAAACTCATAAGTCGAAAACAAACTGACAACGCCAGGGCAACAAACGAAAAAGGACAAAAAATAAACAACAGTTTACAAAACACATCATAGAAAACCGCAGACTGATCAACACGAACCCCACAAAAAACCGCGGGGGTGATCTCAGGTGTTCCGGAAGGGTAAGCAGATCCTGCTCCACACGTGGATACTTCGTGTTGCTCATGTTAGTACACACCCGGTATTAAGTCAAACTGAGTAGGTTCAAAGTTTCTCTTTAGCTTAGTGGTGATTGCGAACAAAATACGTATATTTTATTAGAAATTAATACATAGTTGCTGATGTTTTTTTTTGTATAACCAACTAGCAATCAGTAGCAATTCTTTAGATATATATCGAGCAGAATAAATCACCATCGTTATAGAAATTCTTTAAAAAAATAAAGATTTGGTTAGAAAGTTTGGCTTTACCGGTAGAAAACTTCAAGGAAAGGATCAACTTTATCAGTACTAATATTGATTTTGTTATTTACACGGCTGTTCAATTATGAACACTTACGATCCTACATTGGCCCCAAATCCAAAACTTACAAACCATGGTATATTATGAGTCATATAACAAGAAAACTTTGATAAATTCCCCCAAAAGGGGTCAATTTCACTAATCTTTAAAAAGAATGATTAAAAATCTTTGGATAACTATAGGTCAATTACTTTATTAAATGTTGATGTTGAAATTCTTGCTTATACACTTGCGCATAGGCTCAAGATAGTTTTACTAACTGTTGTAATGCTGACCAAAAGGGTTACGTGAAAAATAGATACATTGGGTTTAGTCTAAGACAAATTCAAGATGTAATTGACTATGCTAAAAATTTCAATGTGGAGGGGGCAATTTTATTTCTGGACTTTTCAAAATCTTTGTATTACGGAAAAATTATTACGCCAGGGTTTTCGATATCACAATCTTGTCAAAACATTTACTAAATTTTATCATCGGTACAAGGACATCATTGGTAAATATAAATCAACCTGCAGACATCTTATACGTTCAGGCATCCCATCTTTTATGGTAATATTCTATACAAAGCACAAAAAAGTCGTCATAAACCTTAAAAGCTAACTAAACCTTTAAACAGACTTATTCAGAATGGATATAGTTACGATACTGTTGTCAGGTCATTAAAGATGGCATTTTTGGAATTAATATTGATTTACTCATATGATATTTGCATCGGAAATAAACACATTTATTCTAAAACCAGTTTTCGGACTCGGACTTCTCTTAAACTGAGTTTTACTGTGCGTACTGTTTTACGTTTGTTTTTTCTACATTGGCTAGAGGTATAGGGGGAGGCTTGAGATCTCAAAAGACATGTTTAACCCCGCCGCATTTTTGCGCCTGTCCCAAGTCAGGAGCCTCTGGCCTTTGTTAGTCTTGTATCATTTTTAATTTTAGTTTCTTGTGTATAATTTGGAGTTTAGTATGACGTCCATTATCACTGAACTAGTATACATATTTGTTTAGGGGCCAGCTGAAGGACGCCTCCGGGTGCGGGAGTTTCTCGCTGCATTGAAGACCCATTGGTGGCCTTCGGCTGTTGTCTGCTCTATGGTCGGGTTGTTGTCTCTTTGACACATTCCCCATTTCCATTCTCAATTTTATTTTTTACAGAGTTTGTCTTTAGTGCCGTGTGGAGACAG